AGTGGGATCTGAGGAAAGTGGCCTGTAGAATTTGGTATTGGAGAGTTGTCTGGCAGCCTCCTTCTGGTAGTCAGACCTGTTCATGATGACAACAGCACCTCCTTCTAATTCATCCCAAGTAGGCACAGAGTCACAGCAGAAGACAACATAATTTCTGTAATTAAATTGTGGAGGATAGTCCATCAATCTTCAATAAGAAAAAAGTTAAAAAATAACTTTTAATTTTGCTGCTCATCTTTTCCACAAAGGGCAGACACATTATAGATATAGAAGCCTCAACAACCATAAGGGGAAGTTTATTTCCAAAAGCCATGATTCTGGGAGGTGCCGAAATACCATAGAGTTCAAAACTTTGGAATAGTACAAAATCAAGCCTACTGGAAATAATGGCAACTCATATCGAAGCTGCATCAAAACTCAATGGTGAATTCTGGAAGACATGTAAAAACGTAAGTTGCAGTTAGGTAACCGATAAAGCAGTGTATCCTGCACCAATGTGACATTCAATAGGTATGCAAAACAATACCATCCCCCTCCAATTAGTTGGTTTTCCTAGTACTCACACTTTCTGCCATCTCATCAGGCAAGTTTGCGTTCTTTTGGCACATCCATTGAATACCATCTTTGTGGAAGTTATGCTGCATTATCAACTATACACATCTTCCAATGTATTTAGATTGATTATGCAACTTATCCCACCATGGATACCACTGAATTTGGCCAGATATGTTGTCTTTGGACTAGTCTGTCAGTCTCTAGATGGGAAGGCCTTTGTTAATGCCCTAGCTTTCTATTCTGTTACTTTGATTGAATAAGTCAACTTTCAATCATGGCAACTATTGTGAGTCAAGAACTGAGTGGTGATGAGAGTTTACTACATTGGTCCACAAACCTGTATAATCATTAAATGCCATATCTGTTCTTCAGCCACAAGTAGCCTATCCTTCAGGAAAACAAAAACCTTAAAATCTGACAGGATTCTAAATGTATAGTATTGAACAGTTCAGTAGTCGTGGGAACCCAGGCGTCAGTCCCGGCAATGAAATGGCTAGAGTATTTGAAATCACTGCCAAAGTATTTGAAATGTGAAGCACCACATGTGGCAGAATGGGAGCCTTAGATTCTGCATGAACAGTTGTCAACTAAGATTCAGCCTTCTTTTTTCTAATCAAACTTGAATACCATGGAAGGAGAGAGGACCTATGTGCAGTGGACTAATTAACTAATGTCTCTTTTATTGAGAACTAAGTTCAAATTCTCTCTTAGGACACAAGTGAAAATGAATTTGATGTTTTAATCTTACTCCTCAGTTTATGTACATCATAAGGGAATAGACTCTGTGTTCTTTTTTAGTATTATATATCTTTGAAATAGGCAGTGTGTAGCTGAACTGGTCCAGGAGCAGTCCAGAGGAGTAAATATAACAGTTCCTTCTCTGTTCCACCTTGTTCCAGGGGGAAGTAATGTGCATTTTGTCTGTATAGATTGCTGAGCTCCTCCTACATCAGCTCAACTCCACTGGCAAGTTAGGGGCGGTGCAATTGGGACTCCACTTATTCTACCTCCCCCTGTCCACTCACTTGCTCACAGTTGGGAGAGGTGGCCCTGAGGATCCTGATCTCTGCTGCACACCCCGAGTGACAATCCAGGGAGGTCACATGCCAAGGGGTAGGGAAAGGTGTTAACTCTCAATTACATCCCTACATGGTACAGTTTGGTCCAAAGTTACTACACAATACCACGGAATTTGTAATCTCTGCTCTAATAACCCAACAGATTAGGATTGAGGTACAATGACAAAGAGAAGCTCGTACTCATGTCTTGTGGTATTGTTTGCTCAAATCTCTATTATAAATCCTTCATTTTTGAGCTCCAAATTTACTCACAATTTTTTAGCAAAGAAAACACGAGAGCATTGCCAATGATTGCATTTCAAAAGTCTAAGGACAAATGTTTAAAATCATGCAACCCCTAAGTCTACTCCCATGGAGAATTATTTTGTTTTCCATATCAGTTGGTTTTCTCTCTCTTTTTAGGCAGAACACCTCCAAAGTGAACTAAATATATTTACAATAATGTTTGACACAGCAAGTAGAGAGGTAAGTATATTCTACATTAAACTAGTTTCCCTTGTACATTTTAAAAACTTGTATTTGTAACCATTTTCCAACCTAGCAAATCACTGTATTTGTGTCAACATCAGTTTGACATATATTATCTCCTTTGTCAGTACCTCAGGTAATCATAACTTGTCAGATACTAAGCCCTCTTTTTAAATTTCTCATAATTATGAAAGCAACTAGAAATAAATTGTGTGGTTTAATAATACATGATAATGTTTTAAAGATCTTTAAATAAATAAGTAAATGGCTTCTGCAGCATTAGTGTAATCTATTATATAGCATTAATATGCATAACAGATAGCTCTCAGAAGAGTAAGAGGATATTATTTTGATTTGATTTTAATTAGATATATATTGTTTCTTCCATTATATATTACCCACACTAATACTGTAAGAGGCTTTTATGCATATTTAGAGATTTATTGCACTCAATACTTTTAAACATCACTGGTGTCATACTAGTATTTTGAACAATGTTCACAAAGCCATCCTAATTTTGGAGGAAATTTGTGTTGGTTTTAAAAATGATAAAATTATATTCCCACTTGAAGAAAGCCGTGGCTTTAAGTGTGTACTGTCATTTGAAAAATATGAGTAAGTTTATTGTTCTTAAAGATCTGCAGATGGTTTGGTATTGAAACCATTTCGTTCTATGGCTAATATGAATTACTAATTCTATTACAGCCAACTAGATTGTAAGGACCAATACTTTCTATCACTTATTCTTCATATAAGCTTTAATATAGTGATCTGATGTACAATATGTTTCTTAACGAAGAATTTTATTATTAAACTAGATTTTTTTAAGATGATTTTTGTCTTCAGGACTAAAGGTTCAATTCTGCACCATTGAAATCATTGGGAGTTTAGCCATTAACTTCAATAGCAGTTGGATCAGACCCTAAATTCTCCACCTCTAGGAGTGAGAGAGACAGCAGACAAATTTGATAGCTGGCCCTTTCAAGAGTCCGCCAACAAGGATACCAGTAGTGGTGTTTCTGTGATCTGAATACATAGCCATTAGGAACTGTGATTTGAATACATAGCCATTAGGAACTGAACTGAGGTTACCAAATCCTTTTCAGTGGCTTCAAATATCTAGCAGATGATCATGACTTTTGGTCACTACTGACCTGAGTTTAATTCAAACTGATGATATAAAGGGAAATGGCTTGACATCCTGTTTCCAATCGCTGAGCCATCCAGTCCCCTAGTATTCTAGATTTTATGTTCTGCTGAACTGTGCTAAAATACTTCTCTGCTTTGACATTCTTTGTTATCTAAATGCTATGAACTAGCTATAAAGAAATACGTAATAAAATATATAAAAAGTAAAAAGAATACAGTATTTAAACTGAAACATAACAAGCTGTAAACTTTCCATTCTTATAAAATAAACCTGATTTCAATTAAAACAACCTCTGGAGGTAGACTAATGTATGTTATAATAAACGGGTAAATGTAAGGCGTGGGAAAAGTTCAGACATTCCTTCCAGCATATTGAATCAATTAATAGCATGTACAAGGAAACCCTGATTATTTGAAGGAGTGGAGAAAAATGACTTGATTCTTTACAACTAGTACAGACTATTATTAGTATTCCAGATAGAGTGTGTTCTAGGGAGTCCATCATAAGCTTTGATCTGTCTGCATCCACAGCTGGAAACTTTGCACCAGGCTCTGGAAGCAGCACGAACTGACAACAGTCGCCTCCATCAGGAAAGTGAGTTAGTGGTTGCAAATGTTAATCAGTGGATCAAAGAACAAAAGTGAGTAAAATTGGGCCTTTTTTAAAAATCTGATTTCATTTCCTATGGCCCCAAACAATTAAAGCATTCATAAGAACACTCTTCTCAACTTACTCTTATACCTTTTATCTGGAGCTGTGCAATAGTTCTTTATATGTGTGCTAACATTTTTTTTCATCATGACTTTTATGTGCTTTAAAATTAACATAAATGGTCAAAAAAACAAATAAATTATCTTAAAACGGACCCAAATTTTCAGTGTTGTTAATAACAAATGACAAAGTATAATAGAAATCTGTAGATAAGAAAAATCTATATATTCTTAGGTTTTAGGAGCTTCTCACAGATTTTGCTCATCTCCAGAATTGAAGCTTTTATTTTTTTAAAGTGAATTTTCTATCACTTATGCTTCTGAAGTTATCTTTTACAATGCAAACTGATGTACTGTTGTCTTAAGTCTGCAAACAAATGAAAAAATGGTATAAAATAGAAGTATAAATGTCACACATCAGTTTCATAGATATTTATGTGGCTGTAATTCCGAATATGCATAACCGTTTAAAATTAGACTGAGTATTCTTTTGATTATTTGAATAATTTAAATATTTGCCACTGTCTTCAAAAGTAAATTTAAAAGGCATCTGTAGTGCATATTTGTCAGGTATAATATGCAGTGTTGTTGTAGCCTTATCGGGCCCAGGATATTAGAGAGACAAGGTGGGTGAGGTAATATCTTTTATTGGACCAACTTCTGTTAGTGAGAGAGACAAGCTTTCAAGCAACTTAGAACTCTTCCTATGGTCGGGAAGAGTACTCAGAATGGCACAACTAAATAACTAAATAATGGGCCACTTCACCTTGAATGGTCCCTTAGAATGTGTGCTAACTATTTATGCTATCCTATCAGTTGGATCTTGTATTTAGCTGACGCTCTGGCCATGTCTACACTTACTGGGGATCGATTCTGCTGCAATCGATGCAGTGGGGGTCGATTTAGTGGATCGACCACAGAGTGCTCTCCCGTCGACACAGTGTGGTGTAGACACCACAGTAAATCAACCTAAGCTATGTAGCTGGAGTAGTGTAACTTAGGTCGACCTACCTTGATAGTGTAGACAAGGCCTCTGATTACCTTTCCCAGACTTAAACAAGAGCTCTGTTAGCTTTAAAAGCTTGCCTCTTTCACCAACAGAAATTGGCCCAGTAAAAGATATTACTTCACCCACCTTGTCTCAGATAAAACATAACCAGTTACTTTAGTGCAGCTCATGGCTTATTGTGAGTTTCCATGCAAGTTTGTCCAGAAACGGGAATACTGATCACTTTAACAAGCTAATTGAATAACCCTAGTTTTGTCTCAAAATGACATCTAGTACTTGAATGGATGAATAAGCCCATATAAGGAATAGAACACCCTATAGAAATTTCACATATTTGGAGAATTTTTTTTTGAAAATCTTGTCTATGTTAACGCCTTGCCCACAAAGATTGGAAGATATTATATGAGCACTGTTGCAGTTTTGGGAGGATTCTTGGCATAATAGTAACTCTTGATATGTGGCATCAGGATTTGTCATACCCCTAGCAGTCACCAACTACCACACTGTAGTATCTGTAGTATTTAAGAAATGTACTACCTTTTAAGTAAGAAAATGGAAAAATACTATTTTCCAGCAAGTAGTCTAAAATGGCATTTCATTTAATATCCTGTAAAATTTAGTGCTTCACTTTCACTAAACTTTTTTTAAGCTGAATTTGAGTGTGTTCTAAGTATAGAAAAGGCCACCAACAATTATCTTCTGCTTCTACCTCCCATGTTTATTGAGTATTTGAAATAAACTTCTCAGAGTAATACTACTATTAAGCAAAACCAGCAACCATTTCAAGGCATCATTAATACTACCCTAGTATCTTTACTAGTGTCAATCTCTCAACTCCATCCAGCTAGTCCAAAACTTCTTATCATCCAATCCTCACATGATTCCTTTTAGACTTATTCATGCTACACATTATAATCCAAATACATGCTCAGAAAGGGACGATTTCAAAAGTAATTTTTCAAACAGACACAGAGTCAAACTCTTCAGCATGCTGTGGCTGCTTCGCACTTTTCCAGTGATGCAAAGTAGTCTCAAGATGCAGAGCAGTTGAAACAGACCTGTGCATTTGGTCCGCAATCTTGGTGCACTTTCTTATGCTAGGAAAGGAGTCCTCTGCCTCCCTTATTCTTGTTTTCCCTTTTGATTGAGATTTTGCCTCTCCCATTTCTCCCAAAACTAGATTCTTCGTGTTTAAAAATAAAACAGATACTTCATCTTTGAATACTGGTCCCTATGCATATTCCACATGTGGGTACACATACCCACCATGCACCTGAGATCAGAGATTTATATCAAATAGTGTCTGTTGGTCCGTGTCTTCACAATTGTTCTCCTTGTGCTCTGAACCAAAGGTATAAAGGGCAGTTCCTTCTTACCGCTGCATGGCCTGAGTCAGAACCCTCTGTGTCCAGAGATTTTCTCTGTGCTTCCTTCTTCTTCAGACTTGTAAATAATTTTTAGTATTTTAGTATAGTTAGAGTTTTTAATCTTAGTATAGTATAGCATATAACTTAGGGCAGGTCTACACTAAGGCTAAGTCAAACTAAGTTACTCAACTCCAGCTACGTGAATAACCTTAGCTACGTGAATAACCATACCTTGGGTCGACTTACTGTGGTATCTACACCATGCTGGGTCAATGGGAGAAACTCTCCTGTCAACTTACCTTATGTTTCTCGTTCCAGTGAACTACCGGAGTTGATGGGAGAGCGATTGGCCTGGTGGATCAATCGCTGCGCGTCGATCCCCCTGGTAAGTGGAGACAAGCCTTTAGTTTTTGACCACCTCAGGGAGTGACACCTTGTGGACAGATACTATGCCCAGAGACAGATACTATGCCCAGAGACCATGGTATAATATGTATATATCCTGCTTCTCTCCTCAGTGACAAGCACCAAAGCTGCCTCTATTGTCTGGGAGTATTTGTTGCTCATTTCCCCCTCAAACCCTTAAGTCGTGAGAGCGCCGGCTGAGAAAATATCGTATGGAGAAGGCTATGAGTCTGATCTGGGCCAGAGAGACCTCTCTGTATATCAGCCTTAACTGAGGAGCAATGCCCCTGGAAGAACCTCAGGAGTGCAAGCCAGAGCTGCTAAGCCCAAGGAATTGTCATTCAGGTCTTTTCATGAGAGTAAGGGGCACTCTGAGACGCATAAGGACAGATGTCAATCCAGGTCTGTTTCCAAAAGAAGGCATCCCTCCCCAACTGCATCCAAGTTGGGTGAGTCCTCATATTCAGGACACAAGGACTATGGCTCACTTAAACCCTTCCATCATGAGGACAAGGTGCAAAGGATAAAGAATCTGCCATTATTGACATCAACTCTAATTCATAAGTCTATGTATTGATGCCTACCAACATCTTCTATGAATGCATCTGACTCTTCCCAGATCTATTAACTCAGGTAATATCAAGACTAGACAACCCAACTCAGACACCCTTCACCTCATGGCCTGGTTTTTGGAAAGACAACTGATCTAGAACATTCATGATTAAAGGCTGTTCAGTCTATTCTAAATATAAGTAGGAAAGCCTCCATCAGAAAATGTTATCTGGCTTAATGCAGGCATTAGTTTCACTATCTGCAACATAACTGGTCATCTCCAGAATTTGTGGTAATTCCTGCTATGTTAGACTATCTCCTGTCACTGAAAACTTCAGGGATTTCCATTAGTTCCCTGCGGGTCTGTCTAGCAGCAATCAGTGCCTTCCATCCTCTGGTAGAAGGACACTCCATTTTTACTCACCCCAACAATGATTAGATTCTCAAAGGGTCTATTTAGGACCTTCCCACTGATGGTGACACCTGCACTACAAAGAGACCTCATCGTGATACTATCAATACTTACCAGTCCACTATTTGAACCACTGACCACATGTTCTATGACCCATCTTCACATGAAAGTCACTTTTTAGCTGCCATTACATCACCTAGAAGGGTGATTGAACTGGGAGCACTCATGGAGGACCCACATTATCCTATTATACATAAGAAGAAGGTTTCCCTTTGCCTTCGCCTGAAATTCATCCCAAAAGTAATTTTTGAGTTTCACAAAAAAGTAGCCTATCCACTTACAGGTCTTCTTACTAAAACCTCATGCTTCCAATGAGGAGAGTACACTTTCCTCTCTGGATGTTAGATAAACTCTGGCATTCTACCTACAAAGGATGAACTTGACTAGAAAATAACCCTGATTATTTGCCTCTATAATGGATTGGTCGTGATGACATGCATTATCTGCTCAAAGACACTCTAAGAGTATCTACAGCTGCATTTTTCTGAGTTACCAATTGGCGCGTATTCCTCCCCTGGCTAGGGTGAAAACCCATTCCACTACAGCACAAGCTATCTCAATGACATTTCTTCAAAAGTAGCTATACTGGGTATCTATAGAGAGGCTACACAGCGCTCCATACACATGTTCAAAAAACATTACTCATTTGCATATACGGCTATTGGGACTGCAATATTACAGGCATTACAGGCCACCCCCCACACACACCTGTTTAAATACTGCTTATAAATCATGCATGTGTTGAATACCACCTAAGGACCCACCCTCAAAGAAGAAATTGAGGTTCTTCAGTGAATGGAGGTTCTTCAGTGCCCATCTGTATTACACTACCCACCCTCCTTCTCCTCTGCTTCAGATTCTTCTGATTTGCAGTGAGAGAGGAACTGGAGAAGCGTTGGTCCCCACTGTCCCTTATATCCTTGTTTCAAAGCACGAGGGAAAATATCTATGCAGGCATAGACCAATGCAAACTACTTGCTAGAAATCTTTGATATCAGGTGCATAGTATACACATGTACCCATGTGTGGAATACCACATATTTCAAAGAACCTCCAGTTACACGTCAGTAATCTCCATATATCTGTGATCCACTAATAATGGCTCTAATTCCTCAGAGTACACATGCCTGACATGCATGTATGCAATGGTCAATACATTATGAAATTCAATCCTTCTGAATTTTCCCATAGTTCTTTTTACATTTTTTAACTAGTCTATTTTTGTATCACTGGAAGATTTCACCATTTATTGTCCACTTCCTTCTAAAAAAAATCAATAAAACAAATAGTGATTCTGATACAGATCCCTGCAATATTCTACAGGGAACTTCTCTTCATTCTTGGGAGCAGTCATTTGGGAGCTTCTTGTTGCTTAACTAGTTTTTAATCCACAACAAGTCTGTATCTCTTTTGCTATGGTTATTTATTTTCCTTAATAGATACTAGTCAATAGCCCTTAGAAAATATAAGAAAATTATATCCATTGGGTCCTCTTCTAGCCCCAATTGTATTAACTCATTCGAATAAATGGTACAGGTTAAAGAGGCACAAAGCTGTGTTGGTGTCTGCCCTTATCAATTTATACTTATCCAAGTGTCCTATTAGGGCCTGCAACTCCCAGCAAAGCCAGTCAGTGTAGAGAAAACATTAAGTTAACAATGTGACACTGTTTCAAAAAAAGCTAATGATATACTGTGCTGTAAAACAAAGAGACTGTCCAGATCTGTGCAGTGGGAACCCACAGTACCTCTCAGGCACCACAGAAGTGCTTTAAGGGTTTGGGGTGCACACACAAATATGGGAGGAGACTGGATGAGCCAAGGAAAGATATAGGGAAGTGGTTCTCAAACTTCATTGCACCATGACCCCTTTCTGACAGCAAAAATTACTACATGATTTGGGCAGAAGGGTGGAGAGAAGGGTGTGGAGCCAGAGCCAGTGTCCCACCTCCCCAGACAGGTAGGAAGGGCCAGATCCTGAGCCCTGCCGCCCCGGGGTTAAAACCCTCAAGCTTCAGTTTCAGGCCGGGACGGCAGGGCTTCAGCTTCAACCCCAGGCCCCAGCGAGTCTAATCCTGGCCCTGGCAACCCCATTTGGGGGTCCTGACCCACAGTTTGAGAACTGCTGATGTAGGGAATATGGGAGGGACATACTTTCCACCCTTCCCCACTCCAAACCTGCAGCAGTTCCCTTGAAAAGATCAGGCATCTTATCTTTCCCACAAAGCCCTCCCCAATGGGGGTTGGCACAACCAGAAGAATGGCTTCAATAGAGCACAGGTCAGCAGTTATGTAATCTTACAATCATATATTTTAGCAGCATTCTGGCACACATGCAAGACAATACATTAAAATAACACTCAACAGGAACAAGTCAGGTTTTATTAATACATTGATAAAGCTTTTTAAGATAATAGATACAATTTCTAAGAGAAAATGGTGGTGCCTGCATTAAGGGAATGTTGGATTTTTTCCAAACTGTTTGGGGCAGAAACCCAAAAACATGCATCAGTTTCAGATTCAGGCATCTAAAGCAATAGACTAGATGAAATGAGGGGGCGTGACTGCAGTTTGTTTTTATAAACATGAATATAACTTGGTATCAGCATATTTATGTAATTAATGTTACCAACTTCATTAATTAATTGATTGCAGATTTTAAAAGGACGGTTCTAATATGTTTTAAAAGTACAGATCTACAGAATTTGTTTTTGTAAAATGAATCCAACCTCTACTGTACTCCAGGAGTGGTATTTAAATATCCACTATGGTTATATGTCGAAGTCAATTTCGGGTATTGCAGAGTTCATTACGTCTACAATGTAAGCTGGGCTCAGATTCAAGCTTGAACCCCCTTCCTACACACAAATCTCTTGGACTTGGGCTTGGACTTGGACTTAGGATCCTAGGATCCAGCAGGTATGGAGGGGCCAAGTCTGAGTCAAGTTGTGACCCAGGGTTTGAGCCCTATTGCTTTGCAGTGTAGACACAGTACCCCCTCCCCCGACTGTGGTCCTGAGAGTCCACCAAAAGTATCCCACAATTGCACAGGGTCAACTTCCTTTGTCTTCTCTATTCCAAGAATCTCCAATCAACGCCAGTGAAAAGGGAAGCAACCCACCTTGGTGTACTGCAGCAGCTCAGGTTTCAGAGTAGCAGCCGTGTTAGTCTGTATCCGCAAAAAGAAGAACAGGAGTATTTGTGGCACCTTAGAGACTAACAAATTTATTAGAGCATAAGCTTTCGTGGACTGCAGCCCACTTCTTCGGATGCACAGTGAGGATGCATCCGAAGAAGTGGGCTGTAGTCCATGAAAGCTTATGCTCTAATAAATTTGTTAGTCTCTAAGGTGCCACAAGTACTCCTGTTCTTCTTTTTGCAGCAGCTCAGTGAGTCAGCATTGAGCCTTCCATTGTCTTTCTGACCACCACCCTGGAAACACACTGAGTTTGCAATGAAAACTGAACAGAATAAGCATTTTGCAAAGAGTGTTGCTTCATGGGTCACAGCAGCACAGCCAAATTTTGGTAAACCTCTGGTGCGACACCAGCAAAACAGTGGATATCATTAACAGTACCAGGAATGACTACGCATACCAACAAATAGTGAAGAATCTATCAGCGTAGCAAATATACTGGTCCGGTGACCAGTGCAAGGAGCGGATTAAGCATCTCACAACTGAGTACAGGAAAATCAGAGACCAGAACTGTAACTCAGGCAACGCTCTGATATTGTGCCCCAGTACTGCACTGAGCATGAAGACAATGGTGGTGTATGATGATGTGTCAAGCCAGGATAGCATCCTGCTAGCCCCAGAATCCAGCCTTGGGGTGATGGGAGCCAGCAGCAGGTGCACAGTGAGGTCAGCAAAGTGATTCTGTTGCTGAAATCTTTCCCACCCAGCAGCACATTCTGGGCCATACTTGGAGGAGCTGTTTGATACCTGATGAGGAATAGCCCACCATGGAACCTGCAGCAGATAGGACAGAAGCCATCCTGGAGCCTGGTAAGATTCTGGCTCTATTATAATGTTTACTAATATAGGAATGGGAGAGATTTCCATTCTATGAACCAATGTAAAACTTATTAGAAGCCCTGGCTAGCAGTGTGTATCCATTAATGGCAGATTGTATCGTAGTGGCAGGAATCTACCATGTGGGATTCAAAGTGACGACCAGGAAATGCAAACAGTAAAAATGCCTTGAAAGTGATTTTGCGTGTCTGTGTGTGTGTATGTGTAAAGGCACAGATTTTTGGTAGGTCATTTCTGTTTCTTAAAAGTAATAACCTTACATTGCCATACTTGTAAGCATTGCAGCCGGATGCAGCCCTGTCCATGGCTTGGCCTCTGCCAGGCAGGAGCAGCTACTGCTCCATGGGGAGGAGGGGCAGCCCATCGCCCCCCAACATCTGCTTTTTCGAGTGCAGTCTGTCTGTGTCTGTGTAGACTTCCTGTTATGCCAGCTTCAGCTTGCTTTTGAAGTGCAGTTTGCAGAGTTTCCTGTCTGAACCACAAACAGCAGCGGAAGTCCTTGCTGATGTGAAGGGCTTGCTTAAAGCTATATTACCAATTGTATTCATGCTTATGAATATGTAATCAATATGTAAGGAGTGAGTGAGATAGTGTGAGTGTAAGGGTATGTCTACACTACGGAATTACTCCAAATTTACAGAATTTGATTTTGGGCAACCGATTGTATAAAGTCGAGTGCATGCGGCCACACTAAGCACATTAATTAGGCGGTGTGCGTCCATGTACCGAGGCTAGCATCGACTTCTGGAGCGTTGCACTATGGGTAGCTATCCCATAGTTCCCGCAGTCTCCCCCGCCCATTGGAATTCTGGGTTGAGATCCCAATGCCTGATGGGGCAAAAAACATTGTTGCTAGTGGTTCTGGGTACAGCCTCAGCCTTCCCTCCATGAAAGCAATGGCAGACAACCGTTTTGTGCCTTTTTTCCTGGGTGAACTGTGCAGACGCCATACCATAGCAT